ATAAGTAAAACCATACTTAATAACTCAGCGAAAATTGTAATTCAAGCCTTGAAAAACCATTACATCCATCTTTTCCATTTGAACATTGTGGTTGTGAAAAAAAAATTATATTTCAAATTCTAAAAAAGAGTATATATTTTAATAAATCCATCTTCTCCATTCGAACATTGTGTTCGTTGTTGTGAAAAAAAATTATATTTTAAATTCTAAAAAATAATATATATTTTAATAAATTAACTAAATCATCTATTTTCCCCTAAGTGCTTCAAGGACCTTGAAGATTTTTTTTAGTTTCAAATTATATTATCAGGATTAGAAATTGATTTTAGAGCTACCTTGAATATTCCCGTTGCCGAAAGTATTTTTTAAACTAGGATTTGAGGTGATGCTTTATTTGGTTTTCATAAAGCCTAGGCCTTATAGAAGCTTCATCTTTCAATTTGGTCACCAAATTTAAAAGCCGGCATAAGTCGCAGAAGTTTCAGAGAATTGAATTTAATAAGCAATAATGAATTGTCGAACGGACAGCAAGCTTAGTGGATGGATCACCTATGGTCCCAAAAAAAATACCCGGTCCTCAAAGTTCCTTATTTTTCCCACTTGTTTCCTGACTTTTAGTTGAAAAATTAGGGTTTTTACAGAGCCTTTTTGTTCCTGACATGGTAGTAAGATCTCTGTGTTCACCCCTTCTTTGTTGGGTTTTAGGCTTATTCTTCATTTAATGGAATGGATGTAAAATCTCTGTGATATAAACTCATTTTTTGTTGGTTTTTCTATCTCTGATTTTTGTTGACGATGGTGTTACTGTAAATCCTAAGGTTTTTTTTTGGAGTCTTTTTCTTTGGGTTTTTTTCTGTATGGGTCTAGGGTTCATTTCTCACCATTTTTTTATTTTTATTTTTTGCCATTTCTTTAGATTTAGAGAATTGACTGGTTTAGGCATTGATACCCGTGAAAACCCATCTAACATGTAAAATAACCATCTCTCCACTTGGTTTTTTAAATTCCTCATTAGAATTAACAGGATTTCATGGCTTTAGGGGTCTCTGCCTCAATTTAATTGTACTGTAGTTTTAATTTATAGTTAGATCTGTCTGTTAATCTGGTTGATGATCCTTCCAAAGTCCCCTTTTCTATTTGTGCTCCAAAATTTGATTTTGGTTTAGAGAGAACAAACATGGTGTGAAATCTCAGAGGAATAACAATGATAAGCTCAGGCATGAATCTGGTGATGACAGTCATCGGGTTCGCAGTGAGCACGATGTTCATAGTCTTCGTGTGCACCCGACTAATTTGTGCAAGGATTCAGTTGACTGCATCGAGAGGATCGCTCCCTACTGCTTCTCGATCTGATTTGGGACTTGTAAGTCTCTAGTTTCCTTAAATTGATTCATTTTGTTGAACGTTTAGTTCATTTCACTTGAAGCCCACTTTATTAGTTTTCAAATCAGAAGTTATGATTTTGGTTGAATAAGTATCTCGTTTTCCTCAATTTGACTCATTTGGTTGAATTTTGGGTTGTTTCACTTTGAACTACTGTTATTGTTTTCCAACTTAAAAGTTATGATTTTCGTTTGGGAAGTCTCTGGTTTTTCTCGATTTGAGTCATTTGGTTGAATTTTAGTTAATTTTACTTTTAGTTTCAACTTAAAGTTACAATTGTGGTTCATGTCTCTGTTTTCCCTCAGTTTGATTCATTTGGTTGAAGTTGGGGCCATTTCACTTTGAACTAAATTTACTAATTTTTCAACTTAAATGTTATGATTTTGGTTTAGTCTCTGGTTTTCCCGTGAATTCATTTGACTAAATTTTGAGTTGTTATGCTTTGAACCTATATTCCTGTTTTTTGGGCTAAAAAGTACTTATTGGGGCATAAAGTATCTGCTTTTAGTATCGATTCAGTTCGCTAAATTATGTTTATTTTTCATTTTGAACTGATTTTGTTGTTTTTCAACTGAAAAGTTTGGATTTCAGCTTGATAAATTTCGTATATTTTTATTTCATTTGGTTTAATTTTAGTTTGTTTCACTTCAACCAATTTTCGTTTTTGGGTTTCAACTGAAAACTTTGATTTGGGTCTAGTTAGAGTCTGATTTCTATTTGACTCAATTGGTCGAATTCTAATTTATTTTAATTTCAATAAATTATCAACTAATAATTTCTGACTTGGGTCTGTTAGCTAGTAAGACTTTGGTTCCAATGGACTCATTTGGTTGAGATTTAGTTTTCCTTGCAATTTCAACTTATTTTGTTGTTTTCCAACTGAAAAAATCTGATTCTGGTTTTACTGTTTATTCATTTGTTTGAATTTTAATCTATTTCACTCTCAATTGATTTTACTAGTTTTGGGCTGAAAAGTTCTGATTGTGTATATTTAAGTCTCTGGTTTTCCTATCAATACATCTGGTTGAATTTTTAGTTCATTACTCATTTAACCAGCTTTTTTTATTTATTTTTCAACTAAAATGTTCTGCTATTGGCTACTAATGGTCTGGTTTTCCTATTAACTTATTTGGTTGAATTTTAGTGTAGTTTTTGTTCATTTCAACTTTTTTGCTTATTTTGTTGTTTTTCCATTCTCTGATTCAATACTACTAACCTTCTGGTTTTCCTATTGATTCCTTTCGTTGAATTTCGGTTTGTTTCACTTTTCACCAATTCTAATGTTTTTTAATATAATGTTCTGGATTTGGGCTCAGTAAGGTTCTAGCTCTTCTATCGATTGATTTAGTTGAATCTAGTGATTACCAACTTTATTGTTTTTCGATTTCAAATTTCTGATTCGGGCTAGCAAGTACCTGGCTTTCCCTTTGATTGAATTTTGGTTTATTTGATTTTTAGTCATTTTTGTTGATTTTCAACTAAAAGGTTTTGATAATGGTGCGTAGGGATTCTCTGGTTTTAATACGGTCGATTTCACTTTGAAACAATTTTATTATTCGTCAACATAGAAGTTCCTATTTGCGCTTGCCACTGGTTTCCCTATTGATCCGTTTGGTTAAATTTAGTTGATTTACGTTTGACCAATTTTATTTTAATTTTACAACTGAGAAGTTTTGTTTTGGGCCTATTAAACCTCAAATTTCCCTTGGGTTCATTTGGTTGAATTTTTATCAACTATCCTGATGTTATTTCTACTAAAAAGTGGATTTGCTGGCGGGAAATTCAGATACTTGCGAGTAGGGGTGGCAATGGACCCGACTAGACCCGGGACCCGATGAGTATACCCGACCTCTGTTCCGGGTATAGTTCCAAATTTTGGACCCATTACTATTCTGGTCTTGGTTCATGTCCAGCTGGACCCGACCCGTAAACATAGTCATAGGGTATATGATGGCAATCGTGTCTTTAGGCACGTGCCAGGTGTTCATATTGTCACAATATTGGGAAAAAAAAAGCAGCTCATAGTCATAGGGTATATGATGGTAAAAGAAAGGGCAAAAAACGAAAAAAAAAAAAAAAAAACGAAAGAAAAGAAAAGCCTCATAGTTGTAAGGTGGCAATGGATCTGACCAGCCTGGGACCCGACGGGTTCGAGTATGGGTCGAAATTTTGGACCCAAATACTATTCGTGTCTGGATCCGGGTCCACCTGGACCCGACCCGTACTTGATCCATTGCCACCCCTACTTGTGCTGTACTAGTCCTGTTCATTCTGTTGTTTTGGATCTATGTGATTTTTTTATCTTTTTGTCATTTTTAGATGGTTTCTCATTTTTCTGGGTGAATTTTTTATGTCCTTTTGGACATGAAATGGGAATCATATTTACTTATTTGGTAACTGTACCTTTACGGGTCCTCTTGCTTTAATGTTTGTCATGGTTCTTTGATGCCTATTACTGTACAAATTCTATTCTAATCATTAAAACTGTCTGGTCAAGGACTTCAGTTGAGCATATAGAATTTTCAGTGTGCTAAAATTAGTCCTTGATATAGGTATATAAATTTGTCTTGCTTTTCCCTTTATTGTTTCACTGATATAATATATGATTTTGATTCATTAAGTGCAATAGAGAAATTTGTCTTGCTATAAACTCACTATAGCTTTTCACGTTGCTAGGCTATAAATTTGTCTTGCTTTTCCCTTCATTGTATCCTTGTTGGATGTATATGAGATTTCTTAGTTTATAGACTTAGCTTGGTCCAGTAAGGGTGAGTACCTTAAACTTTCCCTTAACCCATCCCAAGCCTTGGTAAAGGAGGTGCATTACGTTAGGTGGAGAGCCAGTGTAAAACTTTGATACATCTTATCACAAATCCTGAACCTATACTATATGGATGAACAAGATTCATGTAGCTGACGCAAAATAATTAGGATAATGCTTGGATGATGATGATGATAAACTTAGCTGGCCTTTAATGCTTATTATCACTGTTATTTGTTCCTCTGTATTGGTCCCATTCAATTTTCATTGCTTTCATTTCACTCACAAATTGAGCAATTTTTGGCCCCTATCTTCTAAGAGGCGTTGAAGTTCTGTTCTTTTTTTTGTTTAATTTGGGAACAGCTAGAACGTGGACTACATGGCCTGGAACCAGTAGTCATTGCAACCTTTCCTACAAAGAAGTACAGTGATGGTGTTTTCTCCTCAGGGGAAGATTCCCAGTAAGTTTTCTTTCCCTTTATGGACTTACTGTGGTGTTCTTTTCTCTATTTCTTAATCTTTTCCTAATTTCTCTCCTTTCCCCTTCTCTCCTATTGCTCTCTCTTCCTATCTATTACTCTCTATATTGTATCATATCCTTCTGCCAATTTAGCTAGTGTTTCAATCTTGATGGTGCTCTCTTGGGGTTGTCTTCCATTTGTTGCATCTTGATGTTCTGTGAATAATGGGACTTAGGTGGACATGGCTGTGTCATATTTATGGTGTGAGAAGCCCATTTTGATAATTTAAAGATCCCATCAAAATAAAGTTCACCTTTGGGTTTAGCAAGGGATGTACGAGTCTCAATATGGAAGAATGCTGACTTCTTATAATATATGTTTTGTTTCATTAAAGTGCAAGCAACATTGAAATTTTTGTACACTATCCTTGATTCTTTTAGCACATCATGATATAGTTTTCGCTGGCTAATATTTTTGCAAGTCAGTAACATGTGAGGGTTCTTGTGAACCATGGATGAGATGTAGCTTTATTTCTTAAACAATTGCTGCCATTATTTCCTGTTACTGCTGCTTTATTTCATCTAATGTTTTTGGTGAAACAATGTTGAGTAGACCTTGTACTTTGTGCAGTAAACTGCAAATTCTAGCACATGATTTTTGACATGAAACTATCAATTTAACATATTTAGAGTTGCTGAGACAGTACAATATTTCATTTGCTTCTTTTGCTCTATGCTCCTCTTTTATCAGTTTCTTGTTGTTTGTTTGTTTAATTTCTTTTTATAATTTTCATGGGATATGGTATATACTTAAATTGGTTTGGTCTTTGGGCAATGGTTGATTGTTATTTCTCGAGTGGCTTTTTGATAGATCCTTTTTGTGCATGTGGCATCGCATTGTCTCAGTCACTATGTTCCCTTCTCTGTTACCTTTAAATAAGTTGTTGGTTCCTAGAAGAAATGGGATATGACGGGTTAAAATGTCTACACTTATTTTTATCACATCTATTTCATGAATCCTGATCCTATCCCCATAGAACGGTTGTAAGATCAGCCATGCTTCATGGGATGGAATGTTGGGCGGTCAAGAAACAATATCTCCGTAGAATGAATGTGGCTGGGATGAAGATGTTGATATGGATGAGTGGCAAGACAAAAAAGGATAGAATTTGGAATGAATACATTTAAGGAAACTTAAGGGTATCTGCAATAGGCAATAAGATGAGGGAAAGTAGACTGAGGTGGTCTGGCAATCTGCAACGTCGACTTAGAATAACACTGGTTAGGAGTGGTGGTTTAGTTCAAGTGGAAGGCTCTAAATGGCCAAGGAGAAGGCTCAAAAGGACATGGATGGAAGTAGTGAAAAGACATATGGTGCCTTATGGTCTAACTGAGGGTATTGACTCTTGCTAGAGCAGAATGGTGGAATGAGATTCATGTAGCTGATTGCAATAGTTGAGATAAGGCTCGAATGAGATGTGTATATTAAACCATCAGACTTGTGGCTAGTAATATGGAAAAACTGTCTAGTGTTGATTAGTGATTTAAACCATTAAGCGTGTGGTTAGTGATGCCTATCAGAAAAGAAATTGTCTGGTAATGATCCCTTGCACAAAGTACTAAAGGGGTCAATGTAGCACATACAACATTTCATTATGAAAGTTCTTATAAGAAATATGACATTTTAACTAGTATCCAAATAAAATAAAATAAAATATTTTAGCTAGTAATCTAAAAAGATAAGTTAGATGATTTTTTTTTTGTTTTTGTTTTTTGAGAAATGTATAAGTCAGATGAATTTCAACCCTCATCATCATCATAGCCTCTTCCCAATTAAATAGGGTCGGCTACACGAATCTTGGTCCACCATTCTACTCTATTAAAGACCATACCCTCAGTGAGGCCATAAGTCCTCATATCTTTTCGGACTACTTCCAACCACATCCTTTTGGGCCTACTCCTTGCCGTTTTAGTCCTTCCACTTGAACTTACTTGCACCTCCTAATATATGTACTTGGCGTGTGCCACACATGGCCAACCTACCTAAGTTTACTCTCTCTCATCTTATCGCCTATTGGTGCTGCGCCAAAATTCTCTCGAATGGATTCGTTCGAATTTTATCCCTTCTCGTCTTGCCACTCATCCATCTCAATATCGTGATCTCTGTCACACTCATTCTATGGGTATATTGTTTTTTGTCCGCCCAACATTCTGCCCCATAGAGCAAAGCTGGTCTCACAGCTGTCCTATAAAACTTGCTCTTCAGCTTCATTGGTATGCAGCTTTCACATAAAATTCCAGTTGCACATCTCCACTTCGCTACCCACCTTAATTATGTGTGCGACTTCTTCCCCAATCTCTCCATTTTCTTGGATTATCGACCCTAGATATTGAATGTGCGGTCTTTTTTGTACTTCATGGCTGTCAATCTTAACTATTTCTTCATCTCTACTTCTATTATTACTAAACTTGCATTCCATATACTCTATCTTAGTCCGACTAATTTTAAAACCTTTGGATTGTAGGGCATCCCTCCAAAGTTCTAACTTTGTGTTGGCGTTGTTTTGGGTCTTATCAATCAAAATTATGTCATCTGTGAACAACGTGCACCACAATATCTCATCATATAGGTGCTTAGTTAAGTCGTCCATAATTAAGACAAAGCGGTACGGGCTCAATGCTGACCCTTGATGTAGACCTATTGTCACTTAAAACTCATTTGTCTGTCCTATTAAGTTAAATGAATTTCAATAATTTTGAAAAATGACAAGGCCAATGTGTTAATATAGTAATACAACTCAAGCAGGAACAATATTTAGCGATCTTACTACCAATAGGGAGCAACTTGAGTTCATGTGCTTGATGGGTTGTTAATCTCCTGTGTCATGGTGATTACTTTGATGAGCTCCACTACTCTTGAATCAAGCGATGAGTGAGTAACTTGATCTTTGGTTAAATGCACTCGCTCTGGAGTGGAAACCATCACCCTTTGCTACCATTATGTTATGAATAACAATCAATATCTAGTTGGATTCCTTTTGAAAAGATGCCTGTGAATTGGGTCAAGAAACGCTGGATACTCATGTGCTTGAATTTTAGGATTTCAATTGAAGGAAATTGCTCAATGGAATTCTTTAAACAGAACATAAATCTCTATCGAAGATGAATTGTAAAAGAACCTTTTATTTATAAGATAAATCGAAGTATGCTTGTTACTTGTCAAAAAAGTGTCGAAGTATGCTAAGAATGCATAATGGAAACAACGTAATATTCAAAGATAGAATTAGGCAAACAGAAGGCCTGGTAATGGAGGATCAAACTGTTTTCCACTTGCAACGTAATTTCCTTGGTTGTGCCAAATTTTTGGCACAATGTCCATTTTCCTTACATGTATAGCATGACTCTTTCTTTGTTCTATTGACTTTACGAGACTCACCTTGATCGTTATTGGCAGGCTGTGGTTGGGGATTCTTTATTATTTTGTGGCCTTCACAAGCCACAATGCCTTCCTCTAGTACTAGACCTCCCATGAGAGTTCGTAAAAAAGGCCTCATTACGGTCTTCCACTTTCTTAGAACCACTATATGACTCCAATTTTCTTCTTTCGAAAGTGCTTCCTCTTAAAGTAATAGGCTTATAGCCTCTTTCATGGGTGGCTTGAATTTTTGAATCACCAACGCACGACATCAAACTCAACCCCTTCATTTTCAGATGTGATGGCAACTCGTGTGTTATTCTTCATCTTAATGCTTTAGCCTTCTAATTGGAAGCAGAGTTGCAAGCATGTAAGCACCGCAATGGTTCCATCTCTTAGTTTTCACTCAATCCTTGCATTGTGTTGCTTACATGCTTGCAACTCGGCTTCCAATAATGCCTTTCTAGCACTGCTCGCCTGTTCGTGCATAGTGGCCAGCTGATTCCAAGTTACTTTTATCATTTCTGCATTCCTCATATGAGTGAACATCCCTGGTCCACACGAGATTTGGATATGTGTAGAGCCTTACAATTCTGCTTTTTCCATTCCACAAGCATGTCTTGGGCAGTTGTTCTAGGTTATGTCCCATCGTCTACATCCTATTTATCTTGCCCTATAGAATAGGCTGAAAGCCATACCTTGTAATTTCTATAGTTCTTATCTTTGGGAACTTCAAGAACTATGGCACTCAACATACACATGTCAGAGTTTCTATCAGTTTGAAGAGATCTCTTTTCGTGAAAACCTAACCTTGCATTTGAGAGATAGAGAACCAAGTTTCCATGACAACAAGGTCAAAGTTATTGTTTCAAACTCAAGGCATTCTCTAAACAGCTACTATAGTTCAAAAACTTGGTTAGTGAAACACCTATAAATTGGAGTGGAAGTCTCAACAAATGTGAGAAGGTCACACAAAGGCAATATTTACCCATAAATCGAACCTCAAAATTGAGGGAAGTCCCAATTGATGTGAAAAATTCACATGGAGGCGATCTTCACTCATAAAATGAACCTCCAAGTTCAATATCCTGGCTCTAATAACATGTTTAGAAAAATTGTGGTTGCTTTGGATGTAGATGAGCCTGATATGTCATGCATACACACAAGGAAAGAGACGAAAGAACAACGTACTTTTGCATTGTTTTTTTTTTGCAATGAAAGAGGAGAGAGAAACACATACCTTTTATTCAATAAAAGTTGGCCTTGAGGAGCTTTACACATTCGAAACTTTCTCTTTACAACTCTCTCTCTAGGCTGTCGCCTCTCTCAACACTTCTATCTCTCTTTGAGGCTTGGTGGCCTCTCTTTTCTCGCTCCTTTTGCTCTCTAACTTTCTTCATGGTGCCTCATGTCAGACCTCTCTTTACGTCTTTACCACCCATGTCTCATGTCCCACCCTTTACCTATTTAGAGACTTACAAGATAGACACATTTGAATTTACATCATCATAATGCTATGACACCTCCAAGTTTATCACCTATGTGCTTCACCTTTATCAATATCCTACATTGACTGAATCCATGAGGACCTTTTAGGTTTACCAGAAATGAAGATCCTCATCCTTACCTATTAGATTAAACCACCAATTTTCCTAGATAAAAAAGATTTGCTCATGTCAGGTATTTTTTTGCAATATTCATCTTTAACATCAGTTCAGTCCACTTGCTCAAGGAGTTTGAAGAAGCCATGCCAATTCATAGTGACAACATCATTCAATCATATTGGCATCAAATCCAGTCTTTCATGCATGTAGAAGTACATCGAGGTACACTATTACTTTCTTCGTGAGAAGGTGTTGAGCAAGGATGTTAACTTGATAAACCTTCCAACCAACGAACAAAAGGGCTGATATCTTCAACTACGCGCTGAACCCATAGAAGACGATTAATTTCAAGGGAGCCTTGGGCATGAAAGATGTTGGAACGACTTAGCAATGAAAATGGGTGTTAAAAGCTAGGTGTTGCTAAGCAACCTTATAACTTATTGATAAGATAGTATGGACCGATGGAGGTTAGATGTGGTTCAAGTTTTTGAGTAACGAGAAGGCATAGAGGTAGAGAAGGGTGATGTGAGGTTATTGAGAGGGTGAGAGAAAGAGAGAACCGTGCCATTTAGAGAGAGAAGAGGGGCCACAAAGCCTTGTAAAGATAGAGGAATGAGTGCATGAAAGAGGGCACCGAGCCTAGAGAGAGAGAATTATAAAGAAAGGAAATTCAAGAGTGTGTAAAGCCCATTGGGGCCAAAGGTTTTTTGATGAAGTTAACTGTTGTATTAAGAATGGAGAGCAGTACAAAATCGAGTTTCCAAAAGGTGGAGACTAAATACAGACAAGAATGGCAAACTCTCTTAGAGGGAGTGCTATGCAAAGGCTTCCGATGGTGCGAAAATATCAAAGGGGAGAGAAAGTGTCGAAGACTACACAACAATGGAGTGAGCTTGCAAAAAATTCTCAGTCACTGATGTTTATAGCACCCGCCTTACCGAAAGAATCAGCATGGGCATTACTTTCTTGCCAAGCGTTCTCCAACCAATTGTGATGTCACTGCACAAGTGATTAATCTCTTCAAAGATCGAAGCCAGAGCCAGGGACAATAAGTCGAACCTGAGGCCCAGGTAAGGATGTTACTAGAGTTGCCTTCTGCTAACAGTCCTGTGCCCCATGAGCGATCGAAAAGGCCTTCGAGCAGAGCAAGAGCCTCAGCAGTCTGGGAATCTGAGTGGTTGATATGTCTAGAGAATGAGGCTAGGACTGTAACTTCATGGTTCCTGAATAGGCTGTCAATTCCAGCAGGCCTGGGTTACCTAGGGAGCAACCGTCGAATTTCAATTTGACCCAGCCAGGGTCAGGTGGATGCCACCGAGAAGCTTGGGGAATTCAATGCCTGTTGAGGTTGAGCATGGCCACCCAGTCCATGCGGAAGGCCGAGGGAGGGAAGCCTTTGAAGGTCTTGTGATTGGAAGCCTAGAAAATCACATCGGACTTGATCTTTTCAAATAAGGCTGATGGGGATGAACTCTCTACACGAAAAATACGTTGATTGCATTCAAATCCAAGTGGTCCAAAGAAGAGCAGCTACTGCCGCTTTCCGAAGTACGATACCTGATTTGGGCCAGTTAAGGTGCGAGAGAGATGGAAAAAGTTGGGGGATTGAGCTGGGGTTATCCATTGCCTTCATCAAAAATAGCATTTGCATTTTGTTTTTCATCAGTTTGGTTGTAGAGCCATCTACCTAAGGCCTTCACCAAAAAAATCAAGTTAGTAGCCATCCCTTGCTTGTATCGTTGTAGAGCAGCCCTCCTATGGGCTTACCCAACAAACAAGTCCAAGTGGTATTAAACAGTAGTCAAGGTAGTAAAAACTGTCCATACTTATTCTCTTCCCAACTATTTTACTTGTATGGTGCATATGAGGAAAATAACCCTTTGTAGGTTGTACTCGAAAGTCATGTGGCCGACATGGATAAACTTTGGTTTTGGACGGGGGGAATGGATACGTCATGGGTGTTTGAGTGAGGGATGGTCATGATAGATAAGAGGGGAAATTCCATGGTGAATGATAATAAGGGATTTGCTAGAAAGGAAAGAAAAATTTTGGAATTTCACACAGTCAAAGGGTCGCATTGTTTGTTTTAGAGAGGGATGGATTGTGATGCTGTAGGAAAAACATGACAGGTTATAGGTCTGTGGGAGCTTGAAATGAATTTTGTGAACGTTGTTGATCCGTCAACCTAAAAGAAAAGTTAACTTATTTAATGGATAACATGGTTGAGGGCCATGGTCATTTGATACATTTCTTAATAGTAGAATTGTGAATGTTGCAGTCAACTTCACCCTCTAACAAAGTTTCTTGACTGGCTTAATGGATTTCATTCCCTTTGTGCACACCTAGGATATGTATTTGGGACTTACTAGGTTTGTAATTAGTGTCTCGGGCAACAGAATGCAATTTTTATGGAAGATGGCTGGGATGGCATTATGGGTACACTTAGGACTCCTAACTTATTTGATCAGGTCATTGGGTTGGTACAAACAGTGACCATAAATCTGTGGTGGACTTGGTTGAATGATCTGTACAACTTATGAGTACAGCATGCTTTTAGAAGGGTGATGATTGATGGTGAACTAGCAAGTACCAGGTTTAGGGTATTGTAGAATTACTAACTGAAAAGGTCTGCTGTCAAAAATTGATATTCTGAAAGCTTTAGGCCATATCTATCAGCCTCTTCTTCATTCTAACAATAATTATTTAAGGGTGCGGTTTGTATAGAGCTGAGGCTCTAAACAATCGTATTAGAGCTCACCTTCAAATAGTGTCGAGAAATGTTGTTTCAATACTAGAAATCTTTAACTAGCCTTAAAATATATTTGCATCTTTAATTATAAAATTTAAAGCTTCAAAAATAGTGTAGATCGAGCAAATCTATAAAAACTTGAATAGCTTAAAAATAGACGGTTCAAATATGCATTATAAGATGCACTATTTTCAAAACTTGAAATCTGTTTTTTTTCTCAAGTCCATGCATCTTGATGTCGAGATGATCAATTTGAGGATATTTGGGCATCAAAACAACCTCTTCTAGTGAAATTTTTGAGGTAGGCTCTAACCTCTAATTTGATTGTTTAGAGCCTAGGCTCTATATAAACTTTTCCCATTATTTAAATGGGATCACTAGACCCATCAAACCCTACTCGACGCTATCCATTTTATTTGTCTACCAAAGGCTTTTAAACATGTTATTTTTGTGATGTCAATTATTTCAACTACCAAAGTCTGATGCAATCTCACACATTCATATGATGAAGCAGAGATTATCTAATATTCTGTGATTTATATGCGCTTTCTTCTGTTATGTTCTAGTGTAATATGATATAATTAGCAATTGCAACAGTGTTGAGAGTCCATAAAAGAATCCCTTTTGGATAAAGAAAATTTATAATAAATTATTACCTTCTTGAACCATAGTATGTTTTCAGGCAGCCATGCTGCTTTTACCTAGACCTTTATACTTAACTGATGCATGTTGCAATCTAAATGATTACTCAAGATACAAGTGCACTTAGGGAGCTAGGAATTTTCATTCTCCCAAAGCCTTAGTGTTATAGTCTTTGGGGCTTTAAATTATGAGGAATTAGAAGTGTAGAGGAAAGGTTACATTAGTATTCTTTTGGGAAATCTTGTGTTGGGTAAGGAAGAACCTAGTGATCTTTGGGTCTGGGTGGTGATATCTGGTATACCAAAAGGCTATGCTCAAATGGCCAAAAAGGTGGATGCATATGATTCGTTCCAGCATATGTGCCAGTTTGCCGGATATCTCAGCATATAGGATGCCAAATTGGTGTCACATGTTCCAGCGATGGAGTCCACTTTAATAAGTGTAATGGTTGAGTAATTAGCTGTTGCTAAATGACATTTGATTTTCTTGCTGATGAAAAGTCATCTCACTTCGGTTCAATTTAGAACCCACTAACCCAACTAGCAAATTCTTTCTTTTGTAATCTTTAACCCAACTAGCTATTACTAAAAGGAAAAAAGATCTAACCCAACTGCCAAATGCTAAAAAATAGAACCAATTTCCCAACTAATTATTACTTGAAAAAATCATAATGGACTAACCCAACTACCAATTACTTGGAAAAAATGATCCCCTAGCCCAGCTACCAATTACTAACATGATAAGAACCAACTAATTCCAACTACCAATTAATTACTGAAAAACAAAGTAACCCAACCACTGATCAAACATTTCTCTGATGTCTTGCTTTCTTTCTCTCACCGATTACCTAATTCATTGGCAGGTGCACTGTATGCCTCAGCGAATACCAAGAGAAGGATACTTTACGTATTCTTCCATATTGTGGCCATGCCTTCCATGTCTCGTGCATCGACACATGGTTGCAACAACACTCGACTTGCCCTGTTTGCCGAATATCTCTACGTGACTCATCTGAAGGGAAACGTTTGATGCCCCCAATGTTCAGCACTGCCTTTCGATCAGCTTATGGTCTCCACACAGTGGCAGCTCACTCTTACCACTGTCTATATAGTGGTCATGTCTATTCGAATGAGACTGGCAATGAGAGGAGAATGGGCTCCATTGAAGAAGAGCACTTTGGGTCAGAGTTCGAAGCTCCTGATTCTGGTCATAGTGTCTCAGTGTTAATTGATCATGCTAGCTATATGAGCACCAATCATCATCATATCTCTGAAAGTAGTGCAAAGCCTGGGCCTGAACTCATTCAAAGTGACAACATGGGGGTGGAGAAGGGAAAGGAGGGAAAAGTAGGAGGTGATGGTTTTAACAGAAAATGTGATGGGATTCAGAGCACTGAAGGCTGCCATTTACAGGGCTGCTCAACTCTTGACTGATATCAATAGTGAGAGGAATGTTCAAAATATGTTCAAGAAGCCATATGGTAGACACAGGCATTGTTTGGAAGAAGCAGCAAAATCAGGTTTTCAGTATTATTTCCGGGATTGGTTGGCTTCTTTCAGCATGGTCTGGTTTATGTGTAACTTTGGATTTGAATAGGTGAAGACAATCAGAAAGAGGAAGCTGTTTGGTTCATGAACTTGACGAAATAGGCTGATGCTTAAACACTATTTGTGTTTATGTGATGGTCTTTGTTTCATTAGCTGAGGCAGTGCTCTGTTGAGAAAGTGCGATGTTTCTTTGTAGCAGTTCGATCTATGTTGCTTCGATAGGAGAATTCCCGGTCGGGTATTTGGAACTGCAAAGTGGTGGTTTGCTGGTTCATGCACTTGAAATGGTTCGAAATCTCGAGATTATGTAAATTGTATCGGAAGGCTTGATTGTCACGGAGTTCGTGAACTTGTTTTCTTACTGAAATTTGGTTGAAAACACGCGAAATTCCTTGGGACATGTAGGTTGTATTGCTCTGCATTTTCAAGGAAAATTCACATGAACAAAAACACACACCAAAACAACTTTGACACACCAGGCTTGCTATTTACCATGAACTGTGAAACTAACCATGTTTAATGAGGCGTTAAAACATTGACAGCGTGTTTGGATTCGGCTTTGTTTATCCGATTTTATGAAATCCCCATTTCCTTCAAAACAGGGAATTTGGGCAGCTTGTTTTTCACCCAAGACTGAGGTTTTGACAAAATCCCATAATTGATCATTTCCTGGCGAGTAGTGGTGGCATTGGGCCTGGTCGTGGCTGGACCTGGACCTGAAAAATGATATGGGACCCGGACCCGAATTCAATGGACCCGACTTGGAAAGATAAGGTGGTTTCTTTGAAAGATTTCTTTTTTTCAAGTTCAGGGGAAAGTGCAATTTGAAAATTTTTTTTATTGATGTTAGTGTGTGGTTGAAGAATTCACATCCCCGAGATTTTGGGGTCGTAATGTTACTCCTGGATTGACTTTTGCTCGAGGGAGCAAATAAACAATATACTCCCACGGGAGTGAGTGATCTAATGATATAGGATTGTACTTAAAAAAGTTTTCTAAAGGTCAAATTACATCATAACTCATCACGAGCATTAGATGAACGTACGTTTGAGATGGACATTTGCCAAAGGTGAGGAGTAGCTAACAATGGATAGTTATTGGATGAGTAGTTTATAAATTTGGCACCGTCTTAAAAACCGGATGGGACTATACTGTTCAACAAGTGGAACTGGAACTAAATAAGTTTGTGGCTGAATTAGTTAAAAAGCTGATATTAATGATGCTATTCAAGATGAACGAAGTGGTTGATTTGCATGCTTTAGGAATAAAATATGAAATTATTATTTACCTTGAATCTCTTTCCATGGTTGTCTCTCACATGAATTTCATTCTAAGCTTACTGAGAAATATCTCCATGGAAGAGCAATTTTTGTTTTTGTTTTTATTTTTTGTGAATAGTTGAATAGAAGAATTGAACTTGGGTCATAGCGTTAACGGCCCTTAGCCCAGGTGAGGGATTTCAACTTGAAATGTAGTGTTGTTAATGTTAAAAATTAGGTGGATGATACGGGCGGAGTACTATTGTCATAGAGGAATAAATAAAAGTTAGATGTGGGAGGGGAGGGTTTTTTTTTTTTTCAAGTCATGCAAAGGGTTGTCTGAAGATTATATTTGGCCCCTTACCATACAAAATGGTGAATTGAGCAAATTAGTGGTTGGGATATCTAATAACAGAAGATCTCTAATAATAGATGGCCTTTAAAGCGCACCAATAAGGCAACTTTGTTGCTTCAACAAGCTCGCCATTTTAGTACTAAGTTACCCGGGCTCGTCATTTTGGATCTGGACTTGGGTCGGGTCCAAGTGACTTGGACCTGTACCTGGCTTGAGCTCGTCATTTTGGACCCAGATCAGGACCGGGATTTAGAAATTAAAAAAATATAAAAAATTATTATTATTTTTTGTATAATGTATGTTTTAATATTTGTACTGGGTCGGGTCGACCCTGACCCGGACGGTCCCCATCCAATAGGGTCCAAGCCAGATTTGGGTCAGGTCCAAGTCATTTGGACTCGAACCCGGTTTGGGGTTAACCTTTTGGGTGACCCGAGTGCTACCCCTAAGTTCACCTCACGGATTTCTCATCCACGGTCTTATGATTCATATATAGACCTTGTAGAATTAAAGATGCACATCACAAATCCATCGGAAAATGTTGTTTTAGGGTTGAAAACCCTCTAATTTATTATCTCGACATCGATATTTATGAATATAACGAAAATAAGATTTTGAGTCCTAAAAATAGTGTATCTTACAACACATTATCTAGACTGTCCATTTTTAAGATTTTTAAATCTTTATAGATCTACTTGATTTTAACTATTTTTGCTAGACCGTCCATTTTCAAGATATTCATATGTTTATAGATCTACTTAACTTTAACTATTTTTGAAGTTTAAAATTTAATAATTGGCTATGAAAATAGATTTTCAAAATAATTTTAAAAAACATTTAGACCAAAATTACATGATAAAATTTGGAGGTGCGCCTTAATTGGATTGTTTAAGGTTGCAGCCTTATTATAGAAACACACCCAAATGTAAAAGATACCCTTTCACACTTCTCAATTATCAAAGCCATTTCCCGCTAATGTAAAGCTCTCTGCACTATGAAGTAAGCAACCATGGCTCCAAAGCCAAAGAAGTCACCAAAAACCTCATCTGTTTCTTCTACTAAACGCTCCACACCGGACCAGAAAACCTCCATTATCAGTGTTAATCAAAGCCCTGAAACTCCTTCACTTTCTTATGATGATGAAAGCTTTGATTTGGCTTTAATGGAGGCCAGTTTCAGGTTTCCTGGCTTCATATATAGAAATTCTTTTCAAGGTCGAGTTACAGAGGTCGAGGCCAAGATGAATGGTCCTTTTACGACGATCTGGTTATCTGAAGCTGCCATGGCTGCTTCCTCTCTGTTGCCTGGTTCTTACGTATCGGTAATTTGCTTTCTGTTTAATCATTCAATATTATTTTCTTTTTTTTTTTTTTTTTTTTGAATCTCTCACTGTTACTGTGAATTTTCCTCTATTTCAAAGTTCATTGAAGGACATTGCAGTCTCATGCTCAACTTTGTCTCCGTTTCTTTTAATATATGGATGAAACAGGCTTTCCCTGTCTATAAATTTTCTTCTTCGTTGAAATTGGGTGGATTTTAATTTCAAATTTCAGGATTTTTTTTTGAAGAGATTTCATTCTTATGCTTAATTGTGAGCTCCATGTTCTTTTGATATCTTTATGAAACTTGTTTGACCTAACTGTACATTCTCTTCATCCTTCACTCGCTGAAGCTTTTTATCTTGCATTTCTACATGCTTCGAGATGATGGAATGTGTGTTCATTGATTATAGAGCTTTTTGAGAGTTGGTAACTTTGTATCACTTATTTTTTCTTAGACAGAGTTTTTGCTTTGTTATCAGGTCTCACTTGCCTCCTCTAAAGGTTCTCCCCTTGAATCTCTAGCCATTACATACTCTGAAAAGTTCAGTATCAACATGGCTGATTCAATTGGTGCTTTCTTCGCAGTTGCAGTTGTGTGGCCTTCTCGAAAGGTAAGGTCTGAACAGCTTCTAATTGTGACCTGTAGTTGAAAATATCAACCCCATAACTTTTCATTCTACTCATTATTTGTTATGATTTCTTCTTATGTGTAGGTTCTGAAGAATGATGTGAGATTGTCATGGAATCTCTCATGTACCATGGGTAATCCTTCACTGGGTAGAACTGTATTTGTTTCCACTCTTGAATGCTATTCAATATCTCTTCATTTGAAGAGCGCCCAAAACCCAGTTGATGATAAACTTCAATGGGCCTCACTAAGAAAATGCAAAGACATTTATTTAAAGTTACTTCCTTTGAAAGAAAATAGAACCCAAAATTCCTTTTCAACTCCAACAAAGACAGGGTCTGATGGTTCTGATCCATCTAAAAATGAAAAGCTTGATTACACAGAAGTAAGATTAGCCCTAGAAGATGAAAAGATATGTGAACTTTTGAAGAATTATGCTGCTCGATGGCTTTGTGGTCGAAGCCTATTCCATGGTAATGTAGTGATGCTTCCAATATGTGGTCATGACTCTGCTTTTCAAGTGGTAGCCGGAAAGAGTTTTCATGATTCAGGAAAAAACAGTGATGCTCCCTTCTTGATTAACACAAAAACTGAGGTACATTTATTGTCATCCACGCGATCAAATTTGGAATCTGATAAGATAGGAGCTCTCCCTCTAATTGGCTTTGAGATCCCTGGAAATAACAAGGATAGTGGCTCTGAAGTTTCAAAGTTGGGTGGCCTATCTGAAGAAGCTGGTTTTCTAGATGAAATAATCTACTTCTCATTGATAAATAGAGACACTTTGGCAAGGTTTTCATTCAACTTGTCATCAGTTATTATCATGGTCAACTTCCCAGTATGTTGTGAAGTTGTTTAATTGAAAAGTCATATGTCTAACTTGCTTGACCTTTTCTCGTTGTTTGAGTATATATGGTCTATGTGTTCAGTGTCTTGAAGATCTCTATGACATTATAAAATGAACAAAACAGTCTCTATCTATTTGATTCTTCTTTCCATTGCATTTGCCAATGGCTATATCAGAGTGGGATTTAAGAACAATATTTCTTATTGTTTTTTTTACTCTTCTACAGGCTAGGAGTGCAACCAACAAAAGGTGTGCTTCTTCATGGGCCACCTGGAACAGGGAAGACGTCTTTGGCTTGTGCTTGTGTTCATGATGCTGGTGTCAATCTTTTCTCTATTAATGGGCCAGAGATTGTTAGTCAATATTATGGAGAAAGCGAGCAGGCACTGCATGAAGTTTTCAAGTCAGCAACTGAAGCCTCCCCTTCTGTGGTATGCTCCCCTCTTTCTATCCATGAAAAGGTTCTTTCACATTAGATATATGAAAATAAAGAAACAATGGCATTTTGTAATTCAGGTCTTTATAGATGAATTAGATGCCATTGCCCCTGCTCGAAAGGATGGAAGTGAAGAGCTTTCTCAGAGAATGGTGGCTGCATTATTAACCTTAATGGATGGTACTAGTAGAAATGATGGTATATTAGTTATTGCCGCCACGAATCGTCCTGATTCTATTGATCCTGCTTTGAGGCGGCCTGGAAGATTTGATAGAGAAATAGAAATTGGTATGATATGGATTCTTTTCCTTAACCATTTGTTTTCTTTTCTAATCCATTTTCTAAGACTAAGTTTCATTGTTGAGTATATGATTATATATTCATTTTATTTAGCTCACTATCTAGATAGAATTTGTTAAGTTGAAAGCAAGGGTCTTGTACTGTGGATCATTAAGTGATCTCCACAAATAAAGTAGCTGGTGTGTTCTACATTTCTGCCTTGTGCTCCCCCCCCTTTTCTCTTCTTCTCTCTTTCCTTCGGACCTTCTTACTAATGTATGATCCTTGAATATTTAGTCATTCTCCTGTGGACAAGCTGTGGGTTTAAGGCTTGGTGTCATCAGTTTTTAACTGCTACTTTTTTTGGTGGGTTCTTTGCAGAATTAAACCACATCTTTCTGCACATTACCTCCTGTCTCTTTTTTGTCCCTCGCATTAATATCTCCTCATTTTATTTGCATCCCTGGTGCAACTTTTGCAGCTTAGATGAGATAGTCTGACAGCTCTTGGCTGTTCAGTCACCCAATCAGATTCATTATATCTCCTGGTACCTAACAAACAGAACTATTTCAGGTGTGCCATCTCCTGGCCAACGGTTTGAAATTCTGCAGAAGATACTTCGGGGGATGAGCCACTCCCTTATTGATACAGAAATTCAGTATCTGGCTTCAAGCACGCATGGATTCGTTGGTGCTGATCTCACTGCTCTCTGCAACGAGGCAGCACTAATTTCTCTTCGACGTTATATAGAATGTGGAAACTCTATTGAATCTCCTATGAATTTTGAGGATGATTCAATAGAGTCTGTGTCATCATTACTCTTGGATTTATCTATATCCTCTGAGCATGTTCATCTTTGTGGTGAAAGAAATGACCTGTCAGAAACTGATACTGCCAAAAATATGAATCTTACCAACACTTGTGGAGGAAAGAACATTTCTTCTTGTGGTGGGAGAACAGACTCTTTGTTGAGAGTGACTCCAGAAGATTTTGAGAAAGCCAAAACGAAAGTTAGGCCTAGTGCTATGAGAGAGGTATTGGGGTTGTCAACTTTCAGTTTTCATGTTTGTTTAGCAAGTCTTTTTTCCCTTCCAAATTGTTGCTGCCATGATTTTCGTTTGTCAGTCATTCACTCTTGTCCCAGTGATCTAGTGGTAACGTCTTTTGTCATAAAAAGTCAGTTTCTAATTCTTAGGACTTGTATCTCTCTTGCATAGATGTCAATGTCCAAATCTTGTTCCTTTTATAGCGCTTCTACTGGATTTATAGCCTCCTGTTTGTAGTATTTTGATTATATTAGATGATTTTAATAACCAGAAACTGGCTTTGGTAATTTCTTTGGTTCTTGAGTAAAGAAGAAAAAAAAAAGGTTTCTAGTTTTTTTCTTTTTTGGATAATTGTTGGATTTGCAGTTTATATCTTAGTTCACCAACCACACAGTACCCACCTTCCTCTCCATCCTCTTTTACAAAGACAAAAAAGGGAAAAAGAAAAAAAAAGGAAAGTCAAGTTCACTCATTTGCAGAGTGCATAACCATCCTCAAAAGCAATGGGAATTAGTCCATTTCTGAAATGGTGGTTTCTTTTCTCGGTTTTTCTTGTTCTTCACATGGGGAAGCTAAGCTTGACATGATTTTCATTCGTAGGTTATGCTCGAGGTTCCAAAAGTTGGTTGGAAAGATATTGGTGGTCAACATGAGGTTAAACAACAACTTAGAGAAGCTGTAGAATGGCCACAAAAGCATCAGGATGCTTTTAAACGTATAGGGACAAATCCGCCAAGAGGCATTTTAATGTTTGGGCCTCCTGGTTGCAGTAAAACATTAATGGCTCGTGCAGTGGCTTCTGAAGCAGGGCTTAATTTTCTTGCAGTGAAAGGCCCTGAACTTTTTAGCAAATGGGTTGGAGAATCTGAAAAGGCAGTAAAGTCCTTGTTTGCTAAGGCAAGGGGTTCTGCTCCTTCAATAATTTTTTTTGATGAAATAGATGGACTAGCTGTGGCTCGTGGAAATGATGGTCGTGGAGCTTCTGTTGGAGATAGGGTTATCAGTCAGCTGCTTGTTGAATTGGATGGTAAAAATACTTTCTGTTTCTTGTGCCATGTGCCACAGATATTGATGTTTTTGGATGTTTTTCTTATTATGTCTATGATTAGGATTCTTCATGAATGGGTAAAAGAATTTTTTTTTTTCCTTGATGAAGGGGGAGGGAAAATAGCTGGATAGCACCAACTATTGCTTATTAATAATCATGAATGGTGGGATATAAGAACAGAATTACTTAGTATAATTCGTGTGTCCAAACTGGTCCTTGGAATAGTAATAAATTCGTAAAAATGATTCCCAAGATTCTTCGAATTAGGATCACCTGTAAACGGACACACTCACACACATGTATTGTGTCTGCGGATGTGTTTGTTTATGTGTTGCAATAGACGTGTTTCAGTGTGCTGTAATGTGTGTTTTCTGCATTTGTTTGGAACATGCCATAAGGTGATGCCCATATGGCTTGATAAAGGTTTAGCTGAATCGTAGTTAAACATTTGGGCAGTGCTAGCTAAGCAGCACCAGAACTACTATTTGGAAGGGGAAAAAGCTTAATAGGTGTTGAGTGAGTATGGAATATACTTGAACTCTACTAAAATGACACTTATAGCAAGCTGGCTTCTGTCCCTTTCTGGTGCATTCCATTTTATAACTTCTAGATTATATTGATCTATCTACCAGCCTGTATCTTCCTCATTTTTCAGGCTTTCAAGTTGCAGCAAATTATAAATGAGTTCCCTCTCCTGAGCTAAGGCATTGCTATGGCCTAACTGTGAACCCGGTTTCTTCAGGTTTGAACCAAAGAGTAGGTGTAACTGTGATTGCAGCTACAAATCGTCCAGACAAGATTGATCAGGCCCTTCTACGACCAGGTCCTGTTCAAATATTCTCATTATGTTATGTTCTGATTTTTTATAAGTTTTGAAAAACATCTAGCATATTATACATTCAATTTACAATATTCACTACAGGGCGCTTTGACCGACTTTTGTATGTGGGACCCCCAAACCATAGAGACAGAGAAGACATCTTTCGCATTCACTTGAACAAAATCCCTTGTGGTTCTGATGTCAACCTGTCAGAGCTTGCGAGCCTTACTGAAGGTTGTACAGGGGCAGATGTTTCCTTAATATGTCGTGAAGCTGCTCTTGCAGCATTGGAGGTTTGAAGTTGGATGCTGCTTTGCTTCTTATTATTTTGAACTGATCTTTTGACCTGTTATTTTGAAAGCCCTTTCTTTTTTTTTAATTGTTTCAGGAAAGCCTTGATATGATGGAAGTCTCAATGAGGCATTTTAATCTTGCAATAGGAAGAGTGCAGCCTTCAGGGGTTCGGAATTATCAAGAGTTATCAATTAAATTTCAGAGGCTTGTATCTAGCAGTTCCTGAGCTTACGGTTAGTCATCTTTGTTCCTAAAACAATAAATGTGCCATTAAATTTGGAGCATTTTCTGAATCTTGTGGCCACAAAACTCTGTGGGCTAGCATTTGGTTTAAATCTTGCCCCATCTCCAAGATTGTTTGAAAATATAATATGATGTTCTTTTTGTTCATGCGACCTTCGCACCCCAAAAAGAAAAAAAGCAAACAAGTAAAAGAAACTAGTATTATGTGTAATAATCACTTTTGCTAGATTTTGGTTGTAACTAGCTACTGTTCCTGTGAGAACTAAATGTCTGCATGGAAGTTGGGTTAAAGCACATGCGGTCCTTGTGTGTTTTTATCTTTTTCTGTAAAAATTTGCAATAGTAGGATTTTCATTGCTTCCGAGAAATATGTGCTTTGACATGTTTAATTCTGATTTTCTTGTGGTTTCAATAATTGGTTTCAATCATCATAAATATTTACTTGGCATTGGCTGATATACTTTTAGTGAACAGTTGAATGGAAAAAGGACTGGAAGGGATTATAAGACAAAATTAGCTTTGAAATATTTATTCTAATTGGATGACATTCTAGATTTTGAACACAATTTTCATGTCTTCAAGAACTGAAATTACAGAATCTTTGCGGTCTCTTGCAGGGATTAAAAGTAAGCATCATCTTTAGGGTTAAGGCCATTGTGATGGATTGCTTTACAGGAGAAAAAATAGAAATCTGGTCATAATACAATGCTATTTTGGATAGTGAGGCTTCTTGAATTAGGGTTAGCTAGATGCCAAAGCACAATCCTGAGCAAAAATCCAGAGCTTAACTTCAATAGGAGGTCCACTTGTAATCTTGAACTGCTAGTAGTATGTCAGGAGATTAATTCTGAAAACACCATCCATAATCCAAAAGGGGTTTGTGAGTTCTATTGGGTTTTCACAATTTTTGGAAGCTGAGGCCTACTGTTCTTAAGGTATTTGAAACCTCTCTGTCTGGGCTGCTTGGGAACCCAATTTGAAAAGTTCATATACCTTGCTTAGACTCATTACCAAAATTTATCAGTGTTTCTTTGTACTCTTCCATATCGTGATTTAGTAAATGGGTTACTGGAGTCTAGCTTGTACCTATAGAAAGAAAGATAAAAAAGAAAAGGCTTAATTGCTAATCTACTAAGTGATACAAGAGCTATATATTGAAGAGCAAAGAAAGGGTACTTCAAGTTAGATGTCTTAGTAGTGGTATTTAATTCCATCTAAGTGTCTCTTGATGCAGCCATGCATCAGTGTCTTGTTGATGTTTTATTCCATTTCTGCAGCATCTAAGCTGTTTTTTATTGCACAAACCTGTAACTTTAAACCTTCCTGATTTTCTTGGGCCTTAAATCTACCAGTTGATTAAACACGAGGTCCTTAATCAGCTAATGCACTACATATAGTTTTTTTCTGCAGGTTTGAACCAAGAGAATCAAAGTAAGAAATCATGCAGACAAGATTGCTTATCCACTTGTATGACCAGGTCCTCTTGAAAATTTTATTGCTCCTTCAGAAAGCAAAAAAATCTGAAGATTTTTTTATATGATTTTGATTTACTGCATTCCTAGGGTGTTGATGTTAAGTTCCTATAGAATACAAGAACATTACATGTATAAAAAAGTAAAGGCTATTATGTACTCAGCTTATAAGTTCACTGCAGGATGCTTTGCTGAAAGTTGAGGGTGCAGATGTCTACTTAGTATGCTTTGAGGTAGTCATTTGAGTTTTGCAGTTTGTTGTGCCTTCACTTCTTACATATTACTTCGGAGCCTATATTTGAGGTTGTACAATGAAACCCGTCTTCGGGAAAAACTTTGCAGAACAGCTGACATTTTAGATGGTTGAATGTGTCATTTCAACATCATGGTCAGAATGTTGGAGGTTGGGGCTTCTCAAGAGCTCAAAAGAAATTCAAGAGGCTAGTATATGAATGTGCGCAAGCATCATGGGTAGTTCTTCCTTTTTCTAATTATAAAGTATGATACAAAATGGGGAATATTTTTTAAAATATTTTGGCTGTGGATGTGAATAAATACTGTGACATAATATTTGTTCTCAAGAGACTTCTATTCTACCTTCATGTCTCCCTGGAGACTTCCATAATAGCAATTATTCTATGTGAGAAATGAACTAAATAAAATGAACAAGGTTTTGTTACAGACATCTTTTATATAAATTATGATGCATTGCGTGTACAATGTCAAGTTATGGTCTTGGCTATGCGGAACAATGATTCCCCTGTGCTCTCACTTTTTGAACTGCAAAATTAATATCCTAGAGCTGGATCTTAACTTCAGTGGAAAGGTTCTGGCTTCTAAGGTTTAAGTTTTGGACGATCTTAGTTTAAGAATGATGGTTTTGTCCATGGTGATGTGTCTGGCACAAAATATGTAATTTACATGCATTTGGTTATGGACACTTGAACAGAAGGCGGTATACGTATATTCCTCTCTCTCTCTCTCTCTCTCTCTCACTCACTCACTCACATGCGAGCACCCACTCATATGTATCTACACTTTAATTGCATGTGTACAAGTAAGTGATAAAAGTCTGCGACCTATTAAGAACTAATTTTCACATGACATAATGGATAGAATAATTTTTTAATTTTTGTTGTGCACTATGCAGCAAGAGGTTTCAGATATTGATATGCTGTGTATCTTATTGGATTTACATCCATGAAATATGCCCCTCTATTTGAATTTGTATAGCTAGAGAAAAAAGTGCTTGAACATCATAAGCTATAATACTGATACAGCATATATAGATACAATATAATATGTTCTGATGTAATGTTACATATGTGTTTTTGTGATTTTAGCTTTACCAGGTCTTTGTCCTTGAGAAACTGTTAGTATAATGAGCTATGTTTTCTTCTCTTTGTTTGTGGATATTGATTTGTCTACCAAATACTATTGGAGCTATTCCTTCAACCATCTTGTGTTTTTTATCTTCCTCTCACCTTTCCAAATTTGGTTTTGAGCTGTGACATTCCACCAACCAATGACAAAGGCATAAGCATCCCCATCATATTGGGAAGAATGATTAGCCTCATGCTTCTTGAGATATTTCGGTGAAAAAGTAAGAACAACTCTCAGTATTTAATTATATTTCATATAAAAAAATTGTAGATGGTTGGAAGAAGTGAGAAAAGATATGGAGATTCATGGCATCACTGAGGATATGACCTTTAATAGAGCAGAATGGCGGAACGGGATTTGTTTAGCCAACCCTAATTAGTTGGGAAAAGACAGTAAAAAAAATTGTAGAATGTTTTCCATGTATTTTGTTTATGAAGTAAATACTTTTTCATCGAAATATCCCACTGAGTTGGTGATTCTAACATGGCATCTCTCTGATTTCCTGTACCCATGTCATAACTAGAAGAGGCCTACTTTTGGATGTTTCTTCTCCACCAATAAAATACTTCTCGACAAAAAAGAACGAATAAACTATTTGAAAATATTGGTTTAAAATGCTGATGCTAAACTTACATCCTACATTGAATGAGATGATGTTGCGTATGCATGTCTCAAATAGGTGATTTTCTTAAAATTCAAAGCATGATTTTTGAGTTATCAAAAAAAATTAAAATTAAAATATATGTATATAAGTACATACAAAATCTTACCTGGATCTGTAATTGAAATTTGATTTCACCTTTTAGGCTAACGTATTGTGAATGATTCAATATTGGAGATTTTTTGTCCATATATGTTCGTTTGTACATAGATTGTATTTATCACAATAACAACACTTGTGGTAAGAAGAAAAAATTATACTAAATGAGAAATATACCTAATTTAGTTTAGAAAGGCTAATGAGAAAAGGAGAATGAATGATTAGAGAGTACACCAGGTCTTTCTTTAATCCGGGATAGAGGGACTTGAACCCTCATGATTTATAAAGTCGGCGGATTTTCTAACATTTGGAAACTAGTTCCTAAACAGGCAGAGATTTTCTGATGGAGGGGTAATGCCTCTCCTTATTTTTGACACAAGATACATATAACACTTTTTTCTATGAGAAATTAGATGCGGAAAATGGTTTGACAGGACTGTAGCCCTATCAAATTAAGTAAAGCCTCACCTCATAACTTATTGAAAATTGTAAATCGATCATCTTGGTTTGAACATTATGGTTGTGAAGAAAAGTAAGATTTCAAGTTCGAAAAATGTCATATATTGTAAAAAATTATCTAGACCGTCTATTTTTCCCTAATAATAAGTGTTCATAGATTTGCAAGATCTATACATTTTCTAGTTTCAAATTTTAATGCTGGTGTTGAAAATTGATTTTATAGCCATCATGAAGATATCCGCTGCTGAAAGTGCTTTCCGGATGAGGATTTGAGATGAGGCTTTATTTTGTTTTCATAAAACCTAGGCTTTATAAAAACTTCATCCATTACATGCACGCAGTGTAAAGTTTGCATGGTTTCTTTGAGGGAAAAAACCTTTGAAAGATATAAATTATTGTGGAAGTGAGTAATGGATCATTTAAATTGCTTTTATCGGGTCATCACATAGTGATATCCATTTTCAAATCAAATAAATATTATAGCGATTATATATTATAAAATCATTTAATTTTAGTACAAAGAGGTCAAAATAACTTTTAGCTATTTGATGTAAAATCTGATAACTTAAATGCGTCACATAGTTTGAAAAATTTTATTTCAAAATTTATGCGTTGGAGTCAATGACGCAGCCCTGGCCACCCAATTTTAGATCTAGGGGTCGGGAATGATTGTGACTTTTTTATTTTAAAAGTAAATAGTTTTATTTATACCTTTCCATATCTTTGTGAAAAATGCTGTTGGTTTCTAATTGTACATCTATTTTTTGACTACGTAGTGATTACAATGTTAAGGATACACCACTCATTTTCATAACAATATATCTATCTGCCATGTTATAATGAGGTAGCTATCCTTTATGAAAAAAGTTTATATAAGGGTGAGGCTCTAAACAATTAAATTAAGGCACACCTCAACAATTCCCTAGAAGAGGTTATTTCGATGCCCCAAAAATCTTTAAATCGATCATCTCGATCTCAATATGTATGGACATGAGAAAAAATGGATTTCAAGTCTTGAAAATAGTGCATCCTGTAATACATTTAATGGACCGTTGATTTTCAAGATTTCCAAGTGGTCATAGATATACTGATCTATACTATTTTTGAAGTTTTAAATTTTATGATTAGAAATAAAAACAAATTTTTAGGCCATAACAAAGATTTTCGGTACAGAAACAATATCTTCCGACACTATTTAAAGGAGCGACTAACTTTCATTGTTTAGGGCCTTAGCCTTATACAAATCACTCAAGTCTTTTAATGGTCACAATTATTCTCACTCATTAGATGTCAAATTGGATGGTTTGAGGTGAATCACGAGGTCCGAGAAGTTTTTGTTTGAAAGTTTGTGTGTATTCAATGACACTCTTACAACTACCCATTTTGAAATTTAAGGGGCAAGAATGATTGTGACCTTCATGTACAAAAGATAAATGGTCTTTTTGCAGGCAATCCCATATATTTATATATAAGGAAAAGTTTTGTGTAGTCCACATACTCGTGCATCTGTCTTATTTTTGAAGGGTTTTAGGATCCAGAACGCGTTCTAAATTACTGTAAATCCATTTCTCTCTTAGACATGATTTGGAGTAAGAATCAAAATAAATTGTCCAAAACATAAAATACAAAATGGACCATTTTTAAGTTCATTATTGATCATTTCTTTACAGAATTATGATTTGATGGTCAAGATGATAGACCTGTAAATCTTTAGATCATCAATTTATCTCTTAGATAGATTTTGGAAGGTGGATGCACTGAAATAGGTGTGTCTGGGGACACACTAAAGCTGCCCCTATTGGAATAATCGTAAGTTGCAATATTTGTTACCGGTTAACATTCCCGAGGACTATTTTGACATTTACTTATTGATGAGTGTTTTTTATAGATGTGGCAGTGGCCTTGTACCTAGACCCGACCCGGGACTTTAATGACCGGACCTGACCTTGGTCCGGGTATGGGTTTAAAAATTTGACCCAACTGGTCGGGTCCGAGTTCAGGATCAGGTCCATGTAGAACCTCCCCGGACCTGACTCGAATAGTGTTAATATTTAAATAATATTTTAATTTTATTTAAATAAATATAACTTAGTTATAATAGTTAACTAATGAAAAAGTTTATATAGAGAGGCTCTAAACAATCAAACAAGAGCCCAACTAATAAATTTCGTTAGAAGAGGTTGTTTTGATACGCAAATATCGTCAAATTGATCATCTCGACATCAAGATGCATAGACATGAGAAAACAATGGATTTCAAGTTTTGAAAATAGTGCATCTTGTAATGCATTTTGGAATGCCAATTTTTCAAGATTTTTAAGTTTTCATAGATCAGCTCGATCTACACTATTTTTGAAGCTTTGAATTTTATAATTAAAGATGAAAATATATGATAAGGCTATCACATAAATTTCTAATATTGAAACTATATTTCTCGATACTATTTGAAAGCATGCTTCATGTTGATTGTTTAGAGCCTAGGCTCTATACAAACCGCACCCTTTAAATAATACATACGTCGTGGGTAGGGCAAGGTACACGCAAGGGGG